TTATCAAAACTTTGTATGTTTTGCGGTCCTTAAAGAGAAATAGCAGTGTCGAGCCAATTTCTTTCTTATCGAATTTATTTCCGTAATTTTTGGAATTATGCTTTGCAACATAATTTTAGTGCTGATCTTCAATATATCAGAGGTAGGAGAAAAGTACTTTATCAAGATTATTCTCCGTAAAATAACTTTATATGAGGTAATATTTCATTGTTCAGCAGTGATATCCGCCATCTGTTTAGAGATTCTCTGGAGCTAGGTTGGGTATAACTTTATAAATATTATTCTATTCATTTCATTTGCATTTTTTCTGCTCATATGTTACTTCTCATTAGTCCACAACTTATTCAAGACTTTTAGCTTGGTGTTTGACTCCATCCTAAGTATATTGAATAGAATGGCACATATAAATTGTAAGAAATAGAGGTGACTTCCCATCTTGTCTTAAGCTCTGGAGATATTTATTAAATTATGACTATTATAAGGGTTACACTTACCAAATTTTCACTTTAAGGTGATGAATTAACTTGCTAATATTGACTTGTTAATTATTTACTAATAGAATGAGGGTTGATAAAATCATATTTGATCATCTTAAAAGTCATTCTTTTCAATATCGTATGCACCGTAAGCATATATTATATTTATTTACCACAGTGTTGAGGGCATAACGCTTTCTAAAGTAAGCACGAGGGCTAGAAATTTCTTATGGCTTTATAATGTCATACTAACAAAGTCTTCTACTTTCTTTCCTACTTTGCTCCTCTTTCTCTTACTTTTTGCACAGTTCTTACTTACTGATGTCGCCTAAGCCGTTGATGCGCCAGCAGATGGCCAGCCTTATACTTTCGGTATTACGTTCATTTTATCGCTTCAAGGATACAAACATTGTGAGTTTTCGCATTTATAGGTCTGTGGTCATGCAAGTTATCTTATTTATTTCCGTATAAGTGTTGATTGGATTATAATCTCTTTTTTCTGTGATATACTTTTGGATCGAAGAATATTTCAAAAACGGGATTTATTATTTTTACTCAAATTATTATAATAAACTTCTTATTTAATTAATAAAACACATTTAATCCTCGATTTAATTGCGGATTGTGGAAATGAAACTAATTATTTTGATTAAACTATGGTGACCTAGACACACCTATAGTTCTTGATAATCATAATGATTATTTTGTTAATATCTCATTATTTTACCTGGACAGTTACTGTAATTTATTAATCATTTAACTACTGATCCTACCCGATAAAAATTATATAATTGACACGATAATTCCAAAACTTTAAAAGTGTTCTGCCTTTGTTTCCGCAACCTAATTGCGTTTTCTGAAGTTCTTTGTCATAGTTGTTATGATAATTCCCAGCGTCGGATTGTGGATTTGGTATATTCCAAGACGTTCGTCGGCATTGTAGTTGGCATGGCCAGTGAGTCTTGAAAGTCTTAAAACCAAGCTACAATTTGTCAATATGACAAGTGGAATCAATACCTTGACTAACTTTCTACAGAACGGTTGTACTATCGCTCATCTTTCTGTGCTCACACATCTACAGCACAATTCTAACACTTATAATGGACTCCTTTAGAGGTAGGCCCTTTTTGGCCAGTTTAGTGTGGTGTTATCACACTCGCATGACTACTTTGCTCGCTCTCTATCTCGATTTACCCGAATTACTTATCCGACTGAGACATCTGAATCTCCCTTATTCCTCGAAGATTGGTTTATTATCTTTCTGGTAACTGATTTCCCTCGGTTCCAGTCAGAGTATATGTTTTACTCCAGGCGCTATTTCTCATGACCTGCCACAAAACTTTGGTAGCACCCATATTGTGGCATCACCTAGTGTAGCGCCTAGGCTCTGATCTCCAAGCTTACAGATGTCAGATATTATCTCTACGCGCTATCTCTGTAATTTAACCCATAAATCATGAAGGTCGATCTCTGGTCTCCTGCTGCATCGTGACAATTTTGATTATCCTCTTTCCTAGTCCTGTATCCGCCAGGCCTCCAAAGTTGGAGTTACTGCGTCGATCAGGATACAGTCAACGTAAATCTCTTCCCTTGATTTTCGAATATTCCTAATCTGCTTCCTCCTTACGATTCCTTTGCCTCAGGTTAACGACAATTTCTTGATCCAGGCGTATTTTTGCTTGTGTTTTCGTTACCTGATATCCTCCGAGTTTACTTAAGCAAGATTTAAAATTGTCACTAACTCTGCTTTCTCGCAACCTCATGTTCATTAATTTTCTTTAGCAAGGATGTCTATGGTCTCCCTAATCTTCCCTTTCATTGTGTTTTCACCTTATGGGCTCTTTCTTTCAGTTATCTTCTAATTGA